GATGACGAGAATGATGATGCATTTGCATGATCCATGATGGGATAGCAAGCATTATAAAGATTCTCATCTCTTTTCTCTAGTTTAGGCCTGAGGAACTGTGGATCATTCTCCTTTAACTGCTGAGCTTGAAGGAAAGATTGAGCTGGAAGAGCTGGTTTTCCATTATTAGCATCAAATCTGGACAGGGGAAAATTTACAGATTGTGGGAGTCTCAATGGCAATGGAATTGGAAAATCCATAACAACTGAACCCGCAGAATGGGCTGAACTGTTGCCAGAATTTGGTCCGAAAGGGCTGTAAGGAGAGACATGTTGTAAGGGAGGGAACTTCATCTGGTAAATAGAGGAGGCTCCACATTTCATCTCATTGCTGAAATTCCCAAGAAAAGCAGGACTTGGGTATCCATTATTAAATTCAGGCTTCTGATTGAAGGGATTTGCAATACCAGGAATTTGTGTTTCTGGCTTTGAAGTACTGGTATCTCTAAGCAGTACTGGGTTCGATTGAGTGTTGGGCATGCTACTGCCACTCAAGCTGATGTGACAGCTGTTTCTGGCAGCTGGAACTCCATGATTGTGTTTTCCCTCATATGTTGTGAGTACACATTTTAAATTGTCAGAGACTCTTTCGACATGCTTCCTCACAGAACATCCAGGGCTTGTGCATTTGTAGTAGCTCCTATAAAAGGGAAAGACGATAAATTCTTTTTAATACATGTACCCTAACAAATGAAAGCATGCAACCTGATAAATTGCAATCTAAGAAAATCTCAAGAATGAACAACCTAAACTTCATTCCTAATGAAACATTTAGAGATATGCCATTCTTTAAGTTAAAACTTGTCAATTAGCCCTTACCTTCGAATGATTCATCCAATAAGTGGGCATAAACATAGGAAGGAGAGGAAGCAAGAAAGAGGAGCGGCAGAGAAGTTCCAGTACCTAGGATTAGGATTTCCCTTGACAATCTTTTGTCCATATTTCCTCCAGCGGTACCCATCATCAAGTATGTCCACTTCACTTTCTATTTGGACAACAACTCTTGGTTCACGGACAGCCCTGGATGCCAAATTTGTTTCAGTCAAGCAGCTTTCTGTCTTCCTGAAATGAAAGGTGGATATGAAAATTATTTAATTACTAATGTCTATGATGATTAACCGCATGAATAGAGAAACACCTTCTTTTTGACTCAGACTCGTCATCATCAGTGGGATCATCAAAGAATAACACGCCTCCCTGTAGGATGGCTCTATCATCATTATCATCATTATGGCTAGCAAGAGTAGATGAAAATTCAGGAGTTTCAGCTGATTCAAGTAAACCAACAGAATTCCCTTGGTTTGTTAATAAATGATCTGAAGCTTGAGATATTGGGGATGTCCTCTCTGAATTATCAGCTCTCCAATTGGAAGATTCAGAAACAACTTTAATATCCTTGAGTCCTATGTGGATATTTCTCCAAAGCAAGCCACCTTCACCTTTAACAGAAGTTTGGCTGCCTCCAGCCATTTCTGACATGCTGTCAGGTGAAAATGTGGATCCAAGTGATGCTCGACGATTAGGCTGAGGCTTTGGGTGATTATGGGCACCCTTGTAGATAATTTCTGTTATTTGACCATCAAGTGAACGTTCTACCTTCTTCTTCACCTGACAGTTTGGATGGGTGCATTTATAGTAGCTCCTTGGATATTCACTACCTTTTACCTGCTTCTGTCCATACTTTCTCCAATTGTAGCCATCTTCAGATGTTGTTATCATTTCCATTGAAGGGTTTGTTCCTTTCTGATCACAATCCAAAATATGCGGGCCAGCATCTTGACCACTGGCCACTGCCAGACTAGAAAATCCCAGATTACAACAATTATCACTCACAGTATTATTTAAACCTCTGACGTCAGCAACTGATTCAACTTCAGAGCTCCTTCGGATGGCTCCTTTTGGGAATTCTATTGGAAATTCAAAATCTAATTCCAGGGAAGCAGGAGGATGGTATTCAGCCCCATTTTTCTGAACAAGGTAAGGAGAAGAAAGCTGCATTAACCAAATCAATTGCTTATCCAAACCATGTTTTACATAAAATAACATCTGAGACAGTCTGCATCTCAATGCAAAAAGACATGCTGCAATACTTGGGGATTAAAAGACCCAATTCAACCCATTGAGAAGATAATTAGTTGAAAGTTAACCCAGGAAAATCACAAGAAATATTGGTTTCATTTAACTTAAATGGTTTCAATCTTACTTACGTTATTTAAGCATAATTTACACTTATATCATCATCCAAGAGGTTTAAAAGAAATGTAGAAATGAGAAGGAAGAGAAAAGATAAAATAAGACCTGTAAAAGTATAGACAAAAGCTTTGGGTTATCAAAATAAAGAAAATAAAGAAAATAAAGGATGAAACCCTTTAACTATCAAAAGGTAAGATCATCAAAGACTAAAACCATTTGAAAAGTGAACTTCTAAACTTTATAATAAATATGATCCCCAACACCAAATATGATTGGATAAAATTCAAAAGAAAACTCAAGAATACAACAAACTTGGGAGTAAAACTTCGAACTCCAGATTATGTTTGTGTCAACCACATAGAGCAAGAACACTAACAAACAGTTAAGGAAAACAAATTCCATCGGTAGAAATGTTAAGATTCTAGAAGATTTATGATACGCATTAGAACCAAACATTTTCTTGATTCAACCTAAGCCAAATGCAAATCTCTCTCAATTAAACTGCTTTAGAGAAAAGAACTTCAATTCTAAGGGTAAAACAAAAGAAACTATGAATGGTAATCATCCATGATTTCCATCCAAACCTTCTCTCCATAAAACCTTCATCCATTCAGATATTAAAAAAAAAAATAAACCCAATACTCACTTTTTGTTTCAACCTTCAGTACTCAATCAGATTATATATTCCTTATTAATCAAATGCACATTAAGAACCAAACTAAATTCAAGCCAATGCCAAAACTTATTTCACTCGTCCTCACAGAAGCCCAACACAAACAAAAACCCACATCATTCATTCAAGTATTCAATATCATCTCAATCCAAATTTGCCCCAAAGAGCATGTCAACTAGTTAAGAGTTTGAGACTTCACGTTGGAGATCTCAAGTTCAGAACTTGAGATGGGTGAGGAGGGATTAAGATAAGGGGGAGGGCATCATTTGACGTACTAAAAGGAAAAAATCAATCCAATTTTGCAAAAAGAAATGACATAAACAACTCCACTTCAGTGGGGAATTAAAAAAAAAAAAAAAAGGCTCCATTTCCATCTCAAAAATCATAACCCAGAATCCAGAAGCCTAACATGAACAAAAAATGAATATCCGTATTCTCACCGGAGAAGAATTAGATAACAAAACTGGTGAATCCAACAACGCAGTGGGGCTGATACCAGGGGAGATAGTGAGACAAGGAGACCGAGTAACCGGCGTGCCTATTCTCTCCGCATTGAAGCCGCATGTTGCAGCCCTTCTCTCCGCAATGCTCCCTCTCCCTCCACCTCCATCGCCTCCGCCGCCGCCGCCGCATTCACCACCACCAACAACAACAGCCGCATTCTCAATGTGAAGGTTGGGACCGTCGCGGTCCATGGATTTGGTTGGAACAAGGTACAGTAGAGTCACCTCGGTGGCATTTCTGGGATCAAGGCATTTTCAGGGGAATTGGAATCGGATTTTTGTTCAGCTCCAGTGAATTGATGGAGCTGAATTCTCAAGAGTTTTTTCGTAGAGAAAATATAAGGAAGAGAAGAGGAGATAAAGCCAAAACAGAGATGCGGTGTCTCGTTACGGTTTTTTAGTTTCATTCTCAACGTGGCAGATTCTTGTGGCCCACAAATTATTAAGCGCAAATTATTATTTTTTTATTAACTTTTAGTATCTAAAAGTTACGTTGAACTGTAATTAATCTAGAATAGAGTCGGATTAAAAACACTTGTTAATATTTATTTTTTTATTTATAAAATTTAAATTTAAAACTTTATTTAAGAAAAACTAAATTTTTACTTTCCGATAAGAAGGTTGTTGGTATTAAGCGCAAATTAATTAACATTTTAAAATTGTTCTCATATACAATTACGCAGCTTGTGCGTAACGGAGTAATTCTCTTGACACGGGTTGAACATAAGTGTAAATAAGTATGATTTTATAAGTTTAGTTTAATATTTAAAAAAATTAATTTTTTAAAATATAGTAAATTAATATAAGATGTGTTTTTAAAATGATGAAAGGATTAATTTTAAAATAAGTAAAAATTAATATGAAAATATCCTAATTATTAGTATTAAAAAATATTAATTCTCTATTGTTATAGTTAAAGTAAACTATTTATGTTATAATTAAAGAATTTCTAAAAAATTTAATAATGCCATGGTTATAATGACACATCATAATTGTTATTAAATAAGTATGATATATTATTAGATAAATAAATACATAAAATATTATAAATAGACTCTAGATTAAAAAATAATTAAATGATATAATGACAAATTATATTATATGCTTACAATGTGTGTAATTATAATGATATCAGTTTTGAATAAAGAAAAAAGATAAATAAAAATATCAACTCTGCACTTTTTTATTTAAAAATGTTAATTTTATTAATTTTTAAATAAAAATATTAACTTTTAATTTTTTTATTTAAAAATATTAATTTTTAATTTTTTTCTATTTAAATATGTTAACTTTTAATATTCTGATTAAAAAATCTATTTATCATGTTAACATTATCATTTTTTTTAATAAATTTGCAAAAGGTCAAATTCAAACAGTAGCCTGAAGAAAAGAGAATGCCCTTATAAATGACCTTACGCTTCTGGACCAGAAAGCCCAAGTGCAACATTATCATTTAATTAATTTTTAAATTAAAAAAATTAAAAATTAACCTCTTTATTTTAAAATTAATAAAATTAACATTCAAATAAAAATGTGCAAAAGTTGGTAACCTTATTTACACATTTTCTCATTTTGAACATCAAGAGGCCTACTGAAAACGAGAAAAACCCATATGAAACCTTTATTTTTTGGTCAACTAGTGCATATTACACTAACAATGTGATTTTATCAGACCTGCAACTCTTGGAAAGAAGATGGGGCACATTTTGGTGCTGAACAAAATGACCTCTCTCATCCACTCTGGTGCTATCCTCTCAAATGGCCCTAAAGATGAGACTCGGTACAGAAACTCCGATTCCTCTCCATCTTCTTTGTCCAACCATGTCAGGCTGGATGAGTAACCTGTTATGGCCACAGTAAGTAGATTTGTTTCATTGTATGTAGAGACTAATCCTCTTGCAATATCAGAAAAACTTTGATTGGTGCAAAGCAAATTTGTTTATGTTACATATTATGGAACGAAACTACAGTCATTCCCATATGAGGGAGTTCTGGGGCTCAATGTGGAGTCACAATAAATCATGTTTTTCTGAAGTCTGAACCAAAATATCATCAAATTGTACAAAGTTCAAAACAGGTACCTAAATTTTTAATCATAAAACCAAGAATGAGATCAGAAAAGCACTGGATGACATACACCTTAAACCCCACCATGATATCATTGACTATATTTTAGGTGCACACTACCAGCTTAAGTTTCAAGAAGCCTCCACTTTGAATGATGCATTCATTACTCAGGTAATGACTCAAAGCTTATTAGAAATAGTTTCGTATCTGTCTCAAACCAGAGTCTCTCTTTTCTCATCTTTCGTGCTTAGAACTACAGTTTGGTCATAATACAACTACCATATCCTATTAAGAAGTTATGATTTCAGTTTCAAAACATAATCATTTATTGTTCATTGTACTAGATATTAATTACGCCAATATTATAAATTAGTGGTACAATCATGGTAGTTCTTTCAGAATTCTCCTTCTTATTTGTGCTGATTTCTTACTTAAATAAAAGCGATGTTCTTGCAAAAGCCTACTGAATCATATTAGACATTCTAAATGGCCTCTAATAATTTGTGATTCATGATTTGCAAAAGCTTATGTGCATTTTGATTTTCTTAATGATATTCACCCTTCTAATGAAATTCTTTAGTGTTTTATCTAAAACTGGATCAATTGTTACTGAAGCAAATTAGCATAGGTTATGCGACTGATACCAAATAGGACTGGGAAGCCAAGTCCAAAACATACTTCAAACACCAAGATACATAAACAAATAAAGTCTAAACTCTACACGTAATTAAGAGTAAAACCAATAAGAGAAAGCAAAGACAGATGTAAGTATTAAAATTTCAAGTAAAATACTAGCTTAAAAAATTACCACTAGATTGATGCAAAGCAGAAATGCAGAGTCCTTCAGCTTGATTAGCAGTTGAAAATTCTATGCCCACTAAGCATTCAGTGAGAGCTTGAAACTGGACAAGTACCTCTAACAGACTCATTTCCGCCAGCACTTGCTTTACAGCATTCTAGCTGTACAATTACAGAAATAATCAGAGCAAGTGATGCAAACCAATGCTTCTAGCAATATTTTTCAGTAAGCCATACCTGCTGATAACATTCAAGAACCTCCAAAGACAAAGTTCCCTTTGACAAGTCTTTTGCCAATTCTCTAACCATGGAACCGTCTTGAGTATTGAAATCAGGTGTAACAGTAATTTCTATCTGAGCCCTAGAATTCTTTCTACACTTTCTCGTCATTCTTCTGCTCAAATTGTCAGATACTTTCTGTTCTGCAACTAGAGAACATTCAGGAGAATTTACATGTGTATTATCATTTTCACCACCTTCTCTATGTTCTTCAATGTGCAGTTTTTTTGCAGCCTTCCAACTTCTTCAGATAGCAATTTATCTACCGTAAATTTGACCATCACCCATCAGTACCTTTATCAGAATGTTGAACCAGAAAATCAAAAATAAACAGTAACTGATGATACATGGCAGAAAGGACTTTTATGATAGATTTAGTAGGCATTGGGAATAAGACCAAAAGACTCAAGGATGCAACTGCCAGAACAAAGATATGTTAAGACAGAGATATAGTGTGTGGGAGTGAAATGCAATCCTTATGAACCACATGATTGCATTCAATACATGTACAGGGATTACAATCTCCATTAGTGCCACATGCATC